GTATTATTTAATTATTTGATTTGGGATTTGTTTTAAAATTTCAAGTTAGTTTTATTATTTGACATTTCAATTTCACAAAGAAATAATAAAAGTGCACCTTTTCATTTATAATATGTCTTAAATCTCATTTTGTTAAAAAAGAAAATTGTGAAAAAAATTGTATTGTGAAGAAAAAAAGCAATCACTGAAGTTTTTAATCATGCTGATTTGTCCTCAGTGAAGTTCAGCCGATGTCTTTTTTTGATTTTTATTCGGGCTACTTAAATTCATTTTGGGCTACCAAAATCTGAAGAATGTCTGCCCGAAGGGCTATCAGCGATTTTGAAATTTTGCGAGCCCTGTAATGTAATAATAAATATTTCTTAAGCAGCAAATCAGCATATTAGAATGATTTCTGAAGGATCATGCGACACTGAAGACTAGAGTACTGATGCTGAAAATTCAGCTTTGTATCACAGAAATAAATTATGATATTCAAATAGATAACAGTTCTTTTAAATTGAAATAATATTTCACAATATTGCTGTTTTTACTGTATTTATGATCATATAAATGCAGCCTTGGTGAGCGTAAGATACTTTTTTCAACAACTTCAATATTAGCCACGCCAAACATGGATTATTCTGGCCTTAGACAAGTTTTTCATTAAAAACAAAAAAAACAAATACACAACCCTTTACGCTTTACAAATACTTTTTGTTCCAAATCAATTATTTTAATGCTATGATTCATCTTTCAGCTGGTTGGTTTGTTTCAAGATAAAAAAAAAAAACTCTTTATTGTGGAGTAAATGAATAGGAAGGATGAACTGGTTCAGGTCTCCTGAAGTGTTTAACTCCATGTACACATTGTTTTGTAGGGCCTCAAAGGGACGCCCAGGCTGCACGGGAGTTCATCCTGAAGATGTTTGTGGATCTGAACCCCGACAGCGACAAGATCATCTACTCGCATTTCACCTGCGCCACCGACACGGAGAACATCCGCTTTGTGTTCGCGGCGGTGAAAGACACCATCCTGCAACTAAACCTGAAGGAATACAACCTGGTGTGAGACGTGCGACGAGTCCGACACATGAATCAGCATAAAACAGGCACCCACAGAGCGTGCGCACACCTACGTCCACACACACACACACACACACACACACACACATGCATCATGTACACTTTCAGAAACACACGATTCTTTTGATTTCTCTTTACTAGCTTCCAGAGTTTTTCTCTTTCTGTCCAGCGGAATCATAACGGACATGTCCTGCTCATCGTTTGTTTTTTATTTGTTTGCGAAAGTCTGTCCGCTCATCCCTGGCAGCTCTCGTCAAAGGCCTCTTTCCCTTTTATCAAATTTGACCACAAAAAAAAAGAAGAAGAAAAAAAGTGGCTCGGATTTGACAAAGGGCATTAGACTCCTACTAGCCACTTCAGCATTCACATATTTCATGGAAATGTTGGATTGGCGGAGCTACGATGAGAATGACCTGTGATACGCTGGCCTGAAAAACTGGAAGTGACGTTCCTTCTCATGTCCTGTACTATCACTCGCTTCAATCACGTCATCTGCTCTGAGCGTTTCTCTGGATTTCCGCCTGGATGAATGGAAAAATGTGGTTTTCACAGCCCTGCAAAAAGACCAAAAATAAAAAAAATACAAAAATCACAACATGTTTACATACTTGTACATGGACTAGTGCTGTGGTGCCGGAAGTTCCGAAACGGATTCCGGCGGATTCTAGAATCCAGTGGGTTCCAGCGGGTTCCACTGATGGTGTGGAGAACCTTTCACTCACAGAGATGATTCTCTCGACGAGGCTAGTCTTCAACTCGCATCGATGAATGTAAACTTCATGTGAGAGCATTGCAAATGCAAAAAAAAACAAAACAACAGCAACAAAAAAAAATCGGAAAAAAATGATAATGAACGAAAATAGTGTAAGAATGCCTATATAAGCAAAACGATACAAAGCACGCGATGGAGAGATGAAACGAATTAAATCTGTGTATATTGCTGAGATGATCATTTTAAAAACTTTTTAATGATAAGTAACTATAGCTACTTCTACTGCTACCGAATATAAAGTAAATTATAACGGCAGTCGAATTAATGGTGGGTAAGAGACAACGTTAAGGATTTTTAAATGTGCGCAAAACAGGATTATACATTTATGATAGGTATTGTTCCGCAGATTTCCACATTTAACGTTGACCGTTCCCTCACAGTTGTTATGTTTTATCCTCCTTCCTGGTTTCGTTTTAATTTCACCATCTAAAAAGTAGTTTCGGAGTGCGCGGTTATCTTTTTCCGCTCACGAACAGATACTTTACTTTATTAATTCACAATCCAGGCTGCAGACTCGTGGGTATCGTCGTCATCTAGCAGCACGGATGCACACAATCCATTATTTGTTTACGCATTTTTTTTTTTCTTTTTTTGTCACAACGTAACTTTTTCGGTCGACAATTTCAAGAATTTCGCGCGAGTTCCGGTGGGATCGCGGGAGGACGAGGTTGGGGAAACAGGAAAGCATTTATGCGCTGAAGTTAATTGATTGTGTATATTTATATTTGTAAATACGTATACACATTATTGCTTATGTACAAAACGTCTGTGGTACACTATCTTTGGCAAAAAAAAAAGAAAAAATCACTTTTTCGTAATTGTGTACAGTTCTGTTGGTTTTCTTATGAATTACAATATTATTGATACTGTGATTCTTCGTTTTAATTTTTGATTTTTCTTTTTTGGTCACTATGAATACGTCAAATGATATACACATAGCTGTACCTGACGGTAACGTGTGGAGGACGAACGTGATGAGTAATAGTCTGAGAAAGACTGACTGTTCGAAAGCGTTTGGAAACATCAGAGATGGATAGGGAAACAGCCTCCTCTATGGTGTGAATGTTATATAAGATAAATAATAAAAATATGATTTTTAAGCAAAAGAAAAAAATTATTAAATAAAGAACATTTTATTTATATAATTTATGGACCAGATCTGAAGTTGTTGATAATTTGAATGCTATTGTTTCCACTTTTCCTATTTGAAGCACTCCCATGTTATGAGACAGAAATAGGAGACTCTAGTAACTGTACTGCTGTATAAACCTCCATTATGAATAAAAATATCAGCTTTTTTTTTCCCCCCCAAAAAACGCAATATATTGTACTATAAATATTTTTCCCTAACCACAGTTTTCACTTTCCTACAGATTTTTTTTTATTTGTTAAATTTCCAAATGATGTTTAGGTGAAGTGCTTAAAAACAAACATAGGAAATGTACCATATAAAAAATAGACGGCTTTTTATCTGTAATTGAAGATCTATTTGGTCGACGCTTGCAAGTAGTGACTTTTTCTTTACAATCTGATTTCATTTTCGATTTCTTTATAAATTCACAGCTTGTTTCCGTATGTGATGCACAGATAGAAAAAAGTGTTCTACGGTTCTTTTACAGTCGATATTTTATACAGTCGAAAATCAATTCATAAATTTCATTTTCATTCAATTTCATTCATTTTCATCAAGGGCTACGAAAAACACGGCACATGAAAACCAGAAACGATTGGTCACAGCTCAATGTGTGATTCGGTAGAGGGAGAAACGCGGTCACAAATGCACCCATTCCACCAAATACTCATGCATTATTATTCATTATTTTATCACTTTTGCTGCCATGCATCTGAGTTCATCACTTGCCACGGCCATCGGGCGCTCCACTAGAGAAGCAAACTCCCAAACGCTTTCTTGATGGATATAAAACCTGACGTGTTATTTGTAAACTTAATTCAGTGTTTAAGTGGGGTTTGGAAATGCCACACCATTTTGTAAATCCTGCAGTGTTTTCTTAGATGTCCGTAGTGAGTTAGATTTGAAGAAACTGATGATACAAAGCACTAAATCGTCTAAAACACCATAATTTAAACGTACATCTTACTCTAAAGTGGACCTTAGTTTACTGCGACTGGTGAGTTTATGTCTCTGCTCACTAGGAGAACGTGTTGCTTTGTTGTATCTGGAGCAGCTTGATTGTTCTTAATGCACTTTTCTTTTTTTTTTTCGTGCCACAAGGCAGGAGAACGTGTTGCTTTGTTGTATCTGGAGCAGCTTGATTGTTCTTAATGCACTTTTCTTTTTTTTTTCGTGCCACAAGGCAAACGCTTCGAGCAGCAGGCCGACCGTTTGAGCCACTCATATCTATAAATGTGCCAGTCCCAGAAGTCTCGTATTCGACGTTCCCTCAAGAACCTCTACCTCTGTGATCCGTGAGACGTTTTTCGGGCATTTTAGGATCGGTAGTCACGTGACAAGCACACTTCTTTAGTCCGTAGGGCACAGTCAGTGAGGTTTGGAGGCCAAACTTTGTATATTTATTAGATCTTGCCAACCTGCATGCATTTTGTTCGCCTTGTACGCTAAACACTGCAAACCAACACCTTTCTCAAGCCAAAAAAAATCTTCCTTAAATATCCAGCGAGTGGTACATGGAAAATAGCATCTGTCCCGCTGCTGGCAAGAGAATTGTATGCCTGTGGCTTTGTTTCAGTTCAGCAGTGGACAAGTGAATAGACATATCAGTTATGAAGGCTTTGGCTGTTCTGGGTAACTGTTTGGATATAATTTAGGCTAGAAAATACCATATACAAATGCATAAATGCTTGGCCAAAGCATTGCAAACATGTCTTGTTGATACAATCCTCAGTACTCAAGAGGGCACTAGAGTTTCCTTTAAATATCTGTGCCATTAAACCAGATGTTATTATTCCTGAAAAGGAAAATTGGCTGTGGAAGTTGCATTTGTGGCAGCTAAATTTACTGTATTCACTTTCAACTTATCCGGCTTGAAAATGATTCTTACGTATTCCTATCTTTCTCTAGTGTGCATAAAATAAGTCTCCAGGAGCATAAAATAAGGTCTCTTGCCTCTTGAGTTCTGTGTCTGCTTTAGTTCTCATGATGGTTGTGATTCAGTTCAGTGACTCTTTGCATTTGATTGCTTGTAAAGACTCGCTCGGTAAGATGCAATGAACACATAAGCTTGTTGACATGGAGTCACATTTCTACAGATGACAGAGCGAGTCTATTATGTTATTTCCATGTAAGCATGTTTACTGGTACGGTTAGGTGCATCTATGTGGTGGACGGTCCAATGGTTGACGTTTTGACCCAATGAAAGAGTCATTAAAATGTGATTTCTGCTTTTTATCCCCTGTTCCTTCATTGTAATACATTACCTGAAAGCTGTTATGTCCAGGACCACTTGATCATGTACATTTTACTTGGGTTTTCTCTCTCATTCTTTCTCTGCTTCTTTGTACCCTTTTATTTTGTAATTATACCAAATGTAAATGTTGTATAATATTGTGCGTGCCAATGCCCTTCTCCGAGACTGACTCATAACAAGTGCCAATTGTTGTCCAAATCACTTGCAGACCGTGAAATTAGACACGGTCCCCTTTTAAAAATGAGTAAAACACTAAAGAAGAGAGTAAATGGATTTACTTTGTATTTAAGTTAGAAGATAAACTGCTGTTTTTGCTCTTTTTTTTGTAAGGAATTGTAATTATTAAAGCATGTGCTCTTTGTCCAGATGGGAGTTTTGGGCTCAGACAAGCAACAAAATCCTCGAGACGAGGAAACATAGTGGAAATTAATTTTACGACATTCTCGCCATATTTTATTGTTGTTTTTATTTGTATTTGTTTCATTTCAACCACTGTTGCCTGAACCTCATTCAAACATGGAAATGATTTTCATAACCGCCTTCTAAAAAAAACAAAAAACAAAACAAACAAAAAAATTATAAAGTATCTGTTTTAAATTTAAATAAATTTGTTCCTATACTTGCTGATGGTCTTGTAACTTGTTTTTTTTTGCAGTGCCTGAAATGCTGAAGTGTTAAAATCCTGCAGATTGCTGCTTTTCAGATGTTTCAGATGAAAGTCATTTAATTTTGTTTTATCTGCATTATAATTTCGGCACATAAAAACTCTTGTGGCCTTTATTTTTAAATTGTTTGCCAAATATGGTTTAGTTTTTTGTCCAGAAGGGGTACACACAGAGATTGCATAGAGGAAAAAGTCTAAACATCTAAAATTTAAAAACAAATTATAATATAATATTATCCGAGGATGTCGTCTTCAACGCACACCAATAATATCTCTTCTCTTAGAGGTATTAATAAATCGCATGTTCACTTCAGTGGAAATACTCCCATGGGTGCAGTTGCCAGTGTTGCAGGTTGGAGTCGCTGTACAACTAACCTGGAACAAAAGCAGCGCAATTCCAACACCTTCCACCGACTAAACACACTTCCGGCCACTGTCATTTCATCCATTTGACATCTTAAAATGGGCCTCCTGAGCGCCACCTTAAATCCTGCATGCGAATGTACCAAGGGACGAATCCTACTACGATAAAGGATTGTCTCATGAATATTAATGACGCAACGTGGCGTTCGCCCGGTACGCCTGTCGGATTGGCTGTAATGCAAACACACGGTACCAAACAAGTCTTATTTTAAAATTTGCTATAGATATAGAAAAAAAGCTTCAAAGGATTATTAATGAATGCAAACAGATTTTTAAAAATGTATCTTCAAAGTACACATTCCTAAAATAAACATGAATAATAATATTAATTAATAATAGTATAACATTACACATACATTTACTGTAAAACACTCATTTATTTTGAGATGTTAAGTAGGTGTTAGTGTGTACTTGTATTTGTATGATTTGTATGACAAATATATATATTTGGTAGAAGTGCCTAGACGTACATAAATCATATTATTTGAATGCATTGTCAAAATGAGCCTCAGAACGGATCGATTTACTAATATTGTCAATATAATTTTATTCATTCCATTGGAATATGTTACGATTTTAGCATCTAAATTTGCATCAAAGTTCACCTCAGAGACATATTAGAAGACGTCTCTAAATATTAATTAATTTTGCATTGCTATTTCATTGCATTTGCCTCTTAATATGTTTCTTTCTTGTTCTCTGGCAATTTTCTTCCACATGTTTGGTCTTTATCTCATGAGTCAGATGTCAGGTTTGCAGGTAGCATGTCTAAATGAAAGCGTTTCTGAATGTTTTCTGGTTCAGGTTGGCTTGGAGTTGCTTGTTTGCACACCAGTTGCCTGGTTCCCTCCCTGTAGAGGCTTAATTGTGTCGTTTCCATGAATTGTTCCTGTGCACACAGTGGGCAGCTTGTGTTAATGAGTCCCCAGTCATTATTTTGTTTGCACTCAAGCCTAATTGCCTTTTTTTACATGTGCACACAGATGTATGTGAACAAACACAGGGATGCTAAATGAAAACCTCACAAGTGGATGGATTTGGGGGTGTCTCTAATTGAGGCCCTTTTGTTAATTCAGAGGGTAGATTTTAGGAGAACATTTCGGTCTTCAGCTAGCTTGGGATGTGTGTGAGGAAGTGAACGGGACGTTCTGACACTTGAACCCATGAATCTGAAATTTGAGTTTGAGAAACATCCTGAAACAAATCCTGAGTCCTGCATTTAATATTTTATTTTGTAGTATGTTAATGATGGTGTTTCCTGTTGGTATTGATTTAGCCTTATAGATTCATGAAGTGACACTTAAAACCATAACATGCTCAAACCATTTCTGTGTATTTTCAGCACCTTGTCGAGAAATCTTAAAGGAATCTGAATGCCAATGGAATTGTTTCATAATTTGAAACTAGTCCTAATACAATCAAACAAGAATACTCTGAAAATTAAATAAGATCTTACTGTATTATTTATTTGCTTTATTTTCTTATGATAAATTATTTATTATATATTTTCATTATATTATAAATATTATGTGTATATTATAATGTACTGTCAAGTATACCCAACTACATGTAATAAATATTAAATAAATACATAAATAATAATCTATTAAATAAGTTAAAATACATTTTTGTAATTTTTGTTAATCTTCATGTATACACACTTAAATATAACATTAAATATAAATCATAAAATATAAAATTTTTATATAAAATATATTCTTAAATGAATAATGTCAGTCTAAATGTCAAAGTCTATAATGTCAGTTTATTTAGTTTCTAGAGAATTCTGGTTTAATCCTTTTTGGATTGTTGTCCAAAGTATGACAGTAACATTACTTTAGGACCTTTTGTTGTTGTTGTTGACAAGGCTCTAGTGTCTTAAAATAACCGATAAATACCTCAAGAGCGAAAAATGACCATGTTAAAGTCGTTAATTTGACATGTCTTACTGCCGCTGATGAATTCTTAAGTACACTGACCAAACTTTGATCTTAAACCTCTGAAATTTCAGTAGAAGGGAATCAGCCGGAGATTAACTGCGGGATCCCAAATCTTGGATTAGGAGTTACAGCTGACCGCTCCGTTTAATCTTAGCCTCAAAAATGTACTGTGTTCTTTGGAATTCCGGATCTTTGGGATCAGTTTGTCTTATCAAACCTCTGAAGTTACTTAAAAACAGACTTTTGGTCGATAGATTTAATAACTTGGTGTGGGACAAATCCTTCACAGAACTAATATTTTGCTGCAAACAGTGGCGCTTGTGTTCACAGTCAGGATTGAGAATGATTTCTTTTAAAATGTAATTCTGAATGAAGTGTTTGAGAAACCATTACTCTTAATCCATTTGTTGGTCATTTTCGGCTTGTTTGTGGTCATCATTCAGGTCCAGTGGATTATGGGTTGGGATTACTGCTTCAGATGGGTTTGGTGACCGTAAGCAGCTCTTCGTCAGATTGTTGACCATCCTCTTCCTCTCTCCATCTGAACTCTTCAGCTCAGTGGAGATAATGGACGAAACCAGACTCCATTTCGCTGAATTCAGCAGCCGTCTAGTGCTGAGAAAACAGATTTTTTTTTTGTCATTGTTTTGTGTTTAAGGAACATAATTTTTTCCTTTTTTTTTCTTTTTCATAAATTCAAAAAAAAAAAAAGAATGTTCCAATTAGAACCAGCTAGCGTTTGCTCCTGCTTACCTGTGGTTATGAGCCAAAGCAAAGTACTTGGAGATTACTTCATAGAGAACCTTCTGAACTCCACAAAGAACCTTTTATTCTCTGGTGCTTTAGAAAATCATCTACATACCAGTGCTTTAAAGAAGTCAGAAACCAAAACACTGATCTGAAGAACCTATAATGAATCATCAAGAGTTTTAGAAGTATCCAAAGAACCTTATAACATCTCAACGTTAAATGGTTGTTTGAATATATGTTATTAGTGTGATGATTCATCAGGAAGTTTTCAGACAGGCTTATTGTAGGTCAGTCGTTGTGTTCTTTCAGCTTGTTCTTGTGATGTTATAGCTGAGCCATTAGACATGTGATTTCTGTTCTCAGCTCATGTTATGATGTCACAGCATGATTGTTACATTTCACTTCAGAATTCTGAAATCAGAAAGCCACTAATCAGCTGTGAGTGTTTAGCAGGAATGAGTGTGTGAGACACGTGTTTGTACAGGAGCGGGTGTGTGTGTCAGTCCCATATCAGTCATATCTCTCTCTCATCACATGTCTTTATGTAGTGGTGTTTGCTAAGGTCAGCAGCACTGTTATTATTGGTCATACACGAGTTAATGATTTGAGCTAGGGCAGCAAGTTTTGGCTGATTACAGAACCGGCTTTCTGACAAGATGCGCGTTAAATATCGCATGTGATTTATCGTGCAGCCCTAGTATGAAATAGAATTGCGATCAGGGCTTGAATTTCGGCACGGGATTGCGGATAATTCTACTGATTCCCGCAGTTTCCGCGCTTGTAACGCAGGAAATTCCCGCAAATATTTCAGCGTGAAAGACGCTCGGGACAGATGACAGTAGGGCTGCACGATTAATCGAATGCGATTGTCATGCGCATTTTGATAGTAATGCCGGTTCTGTAATCAGCAGGAAATCATCATCACAGGCTTTCAGATGGAGCAGAATTTACTACACATAGCCGTAGTTCACTGACAAGTTACGCAAAAAAATTGCAGACGATTTTATTTGCGCGATTCTGAAATCGAAGAAATCATTCGCGATAATTACAGCTGTTTGCATAGCTTCTCAGTGAACTACGGCTCTGTGAAGTAAATGCTGCTCCATCTGAAAGCATGTGAAAATTCCACATTTAATAACATATTTTTACTCCAAACTCACTTCATAACGTCAGTCGAGTGTTTGAAATAAATCCTTCTGTGAGATGATGTGGCTTCTTTGCACGTGCTTTTGAGTCTTACAATTTTAAACATTCAAGTGCTCAATTCAGTACTTGCTCGCTCTCTGTGAGACCATTTCTGTGAGCACATAGGGCCTGTTTACACCTGGTCACTGCATGCGTTTTTTTCTGATCGGATAGCTATCCAATCGTGAAAAGACCAGGTGTAAATGCCCTCCGAACCGCATTCGAGACGGATATAAATCCGATCGCTCAAAGCACTTCAGGAGGTGGTCTTATTTTTGATGAATAAATAAAAAACAGGTCACTACATATATATATCAGACTGTGTCTGTGAATATTAAACTGCAAAAAGACGATTTAAATACGAATGTCCTGCATGTTCATTGGATTACCAGAAAATACATAACACAGAGTTTGTGAAAAAAATATTATTCATTATTATTATTTATTCATATTAGATGTTTACATTTGGAAAAGCTGTGCTTCCTGCATAAACCTGCCCCTGTTGGTTTGGCAGTAGCTTGCTTAATTTCTTAATTCAAGTTATATATATTTTGTTCTATTTGTGTTATTCAAGTTATTTATAATAAGGCTCTCCTATTGCGGTCTTTGATCTTGAAATGAGTTGATAATTAATCAAATGCAGTGCTTGTCTTTTGATTTCGTTGACGTGAACTCCGTTAAATTTAAATATAGCGCGGGAATTGAAGATCAGATTTATATCCGTTTTGCGACGACACATTTATGTGGCCAAGGGTAAATGTGAAACGTTTTAACAAATCGGATAGATATCCGATCAGCGAAAACGCATGAAATGACCAGGTGCAAACAGGCCCATAGAGCTGAGAGCACGTGACTACAGAATGAAGTTGTGTTGCGCCTTATTGTGCGTAAACGGCCAAATACATACAAAATTATGTCAAAATGCCCGTTTTGATGAGTATTCACGTTAACAATTGATTTATACTAAACATTGTCGGTAAATAGGCTATTAAGTTAATGTAAACAGTTGAGAAACAAAACTTATGTATAACAGTTAGATCCGTGCATGAGGTCTTAAAGAGACAGCGACCTAAATAGACCTAAATAAACCTGCTGCTGTCTGTCATTAATATTTATTTATACATTCAAGACTAACCAGTGTTATTTTAAAGTTAGATTATTCAGTTTCTGTGGTATTTCTATACCTCAGTATTACTGTTATACCTACCTGAAAAACTTAAAGCACAGTTCATTATAGTTGTATCTTGTTATTGTATTAGTTTGTGCCATTGCTTGTCATTTATCTATTCTTATTTTATTACTGACTGTTTACTTTCTTTTTTTTTAGTTAAAATAAATTCAACTCAGAGTTTGAAATCAAAGTTCGTTTTAAGAATCTTCCTCACAATATAAATATGAATCAACAACATTATTGTAAAAAACTTGTAAAACACAAATACACTGGGTGACGAAACTTTTAGGTTGGATGATAAAAAATCCCCTAACTTCCAAAACAAAATTCAGGCCCTTTTGCTATTTTGCGTTTATAATATGACTATATAATAATTATTATTATTATTTTATTTATTTATTTATTTAGTAATAATAATTATAATTATTATTACTAAATAAATAAATAAATAAAATAATAATAATTATTATTATTTTATTTATTTATTTATTTAGTAATAATAATTATAATTATTATTAAATAAAATAAGAAATATTGCTAATATTTCACTGCCAAATAAAAAAATCAGTCAACATTTAAAAAATCACTTAGTATTAATAATAAATAAAGAAAATAATAAATAATAATTTTATTTTACTAAGTATTGATATTTATGGATAAAAGAACAAAGCACTGTGCTTCTTTCTTGAACATGCATATATATGCATATTTGACAATTGCATGAAGCCATATTGTGATTTCGGTTTTATTTCAGTTAACTGTGCTGCCTTAATTTAAACAAACCTTTTTGCCTGTTGCTCACCTTGCTGTATTTATACAGACATGAATGTTCATACAAATCATGGGTTTGTCTGGCTTTATGGTTTTCTGTTTATGTATGATTTTGGCATACAAACTATTACGCCTTCTTGTAGAATATCTTAGAGATTTCATCTGACTTGGGCCAGCACGGAGTACCCTAAAAACTGCATAGCAACCTGCAACCACATAGAATCACCCTGGCAACCAACCTTCTGTAACAGCCTTTTGGCAATGTGCCATCAACACTCTGAACACTGTAACAACTGCATAGCAACTCCATGGCAACGCCTTAACAACCACCCTCATCATTGTGGTAGTAAGTTTTTTTTTGTTTAACTTTTTTGTTCTTTTTGAATTGAATCTATTTTGAAATGTTTTTCCCTTGTGTTTCTGTTGAGTATGTGAGACTCTGTCTCTCAACGTGCACACGCGCACGCACACACACACACAGAGCAGTCTGGGTTCATTATGTGTGTATTGTGTTGTGAAGGTGGTCAGGGGTCTGGAAGACATTATTAAGGACAACTGAATTAACAAGACCCCCCTCTCACTACAACACCCCCAACAGAGAGTGTGTGTGTGTGTGTGTGTGTGTGTGTGTGTGTGTGTGTGTGTGTGTGTGCAGCAGATGTCTGGGTCACTCAGGCCAAAGTCCCTCATTAGCATCACAAAGGGTGCAACAGCAGAGCCTTTAGCCCCGCCAGCCGCCAGAGGAGAGAAAGATTTGATTTACTTTTTTTTCTTCTATTATTCTAGATGCTTTATTTTGTTTCTATTATTATATTTTCAGTTTCCGTCTAGAGGCTTTAATTTATTACTATTTTTGTTTGTTTTAATATAGAGGCTTATTTATTTATTTTCTGTTTTGTGATAGAGGCTTTTTTTATTGTTTATTTAAATTTTGTATCTCTGTTTCATTCTAGAGGCTTTATTTTATTTTTATATTCCAATTCTTTTTTTATCTAGAGACTTTGTTTTAATAATTTTTTTATTTTGAAATGTTTTTCCCTTGTGTTTCTGTTGAGTATGTGAGACTCTGTCTCTCAACGTGCACACGCGCACGCACACACACACACAGAGCAGTCTGGGTTCATTATGTGTGTATTGTGTTGTGAAGGTGGTCAGGGGTCTGGAAGACATTATTAAGGACAACTGAATTAACAAGACCCCCCTCTCACTACAACACCCCCAACAGAGAGAGAGGTTAATCCCTCTAGCACGCACACACACACGCTTTCATATTCTCTGAAATAATCACACACACACATACACACACTCTCGCCTGTTAACAACCACTGCCACCACACCCCGCTGCTGCTCATGTGTAAGTGAACCGCTGAAAGATCAGTCATACTGTGAAAACACACACACTTATATATATATATATATATATATAGAGAAAGATTTGATTTACTTTTTTTTCTTCTATTATTCTAGATGCTTTATTTTGTTTCTATTATTATATTTTCAGTTTCCGTCTAGAGGCTTTAATTTATTACTATTTTTGTTTGTTTTAATATAGAGGCTTATTTATTTATTTTCTGTTTTGTGATAGAGGTTTTTTTTATTGTTTATTTAAATTTTGTATCTCTGTTTCATTCTAGAGGCTTTATTTTATTTTTATATTCCAATTCTTTTTTTATCTAGAGACTTTGTTTTAATAATTTTTTTTATTCTAGAGTCTTTCTTTTAATTTTTATTTCTATTTCAATTTAAAGGCTTTTTATTATATATTGTTTCATTCTAGAGGCTTTATTTTATTTTACTTTTTTTTTTATTACTTTATTACTTACTTTTTGAGATTAGTGTGTGTGTGTGTGTGTGTGTGTGTATGGTTTGGTTTGGAAAATATGATGGAGTAAACTTAAGAAAATATGAATGATGTTTGTTTGTGTAAAACTCACAATGCTATGGTCATCAGGGGGACCTTAAGCATTTTTTTTTCTTATTGATATGCTAGTTAACATTTATAACACTGTCAGAACAGAGACGAGTTGCTTGCAATAAGACAAAAAATGTCTGGTTGCTGATCGCCTAAGTTCCAGGGGCAGCTCCTTAAGTTCGGCCATCCTACACACACATGACTGACCGCTCGCTCGCACCAACAGGAGGAGGGGTGTTACTTTCTACACTGCACTCAACCTGAGGGATTCATACACTTTCAGTCTTTGAGGAGACATGATAAACAGCGCATACCTCAGGAACGGTATAACGGAAAATATTAGCGGTTTTGAAACCGTGAAATTTTCAAACCGCGGTATACCTTGAAACCGGTAATCAGCCCATGCCTAGGTGATTGCTAACTGCATTTTTATTTTGAAACATGCCGTGGTCGCGTTTGATTAATTAAAATCATAGCCGTTTAAAGTATAATGATCACAGTTAAGCAATGGAGTTCCTGTTATTCCGTCCCCGGATTTAAAATTGAGACTTTGAAGCAGCACCTCTGATGAAACACAGTGACTGAATCTAAAACCTTCCACTGACACACACACATTATATCCACAATAATATAATAATTATTATATATAATAAATAATTAAGTAATTTATTCAGTAAATTACTGAACTTGTATGACGTTACAGAAAGTTGTCCGGTTCCTTTCACACCGCACAGCAGTGTTGTGTTTCTTGTTAAGCTGCATATTAACATAGAGACACGCACAGAGAATAGCGCTCATAGGCTTCTTTACTAGTGCATTGTGCATTCCGCTCGCAGTATATCGGTGGAACATACCAGCTATACAAACTGTGTGGGGGAAACCTAAACTGAACCATGCCCTGCTTGTAGTATTTGTAGTGAATCGCTGAAAATGATTGTGTAAGTTTGTTAACAGAATGCTGTTGTCACTGCTGCAAACTCCCATATATACAAATACTTATTCGAAAAATATAATTTCCCAGCAGCCAGTAGGCCCCTCCCAAGTGTAGGCCCCTGGGCTTCAGCCCCCTTAAAGCCTGTGCTTTAATGCTCCCCTGATGGTCATAATGCCAAGACTCCAGCTATTCAGGATTGTTGTTTTTTTAGTCTGCAAGAAGTCGCAGATCTTGTAGTGTGTGCACTAGTCGCAGACGCTACAGCAGTTTTTCTGCAAGCAAAAGAAAGCAGGGCATTGTGAAGCACAAGCAAAGAAAAATCAAATTTTTATGATTTGACCTTTGCAATTGTTCTGTGCAAATTAGTGTAAAAACATGTAGTGCACAACAACAAAACAGAAAATTGTGAGTCTTTGCAGGACGACGACCTTCTGTCCTGTAGCGTGTGCTTGGCTTAAAGTGTTCTGACTGGGGTTTAGTGTCGCTAATGTCATGCCAATAAAGCACAATAACACTGAGAGGGATGCAGGAGGAGGAGGAACAGCCCCATGTGTTCAGCGGTCACAGGTGATGCTGCTGTTTCTCCTTCTCTAATTGATTCCTAATAGCAGGAATAGACTAGAGGGATTTACTGAAACACTCTCTCTCTCACACACACACACACACACGTCTCTCCTGCCCCTGGAGACACTATCATCTTTTGGAGGAGAGACATGACGGGATGTGAGGGAGGAGATGGGAAAAGTGCTTCAGATTAAAACTTTGACCTTTTCAGTGTCTTTTCATGAAACGGATAGTTCTGCTTATGAAGACATTGTAAAATGGTAAATAAAAAAACATATGCATATTAACTGAATTCTGCATTAAGGCACCAAGTCTACAGGTCAGTAATTTCACCCAAAGTTAGGTGAATTAACCAGTTTTTTAAAATTTTGTTATCTTTCATAATAATAATAATAATAATAACTATCATTATGGTATTATTAATGATGGTAATTGTTGTATATTATTATTATTATTCACTGGGGGGTCCAGCCCCTCAATTTTATTTTATTCATCTGGATAGAAATCACAAAGAACAGCTTCGAATAGGATAGAAGTATGAACAAAAGTATTAAAATTTTTACATTTACATTAATTTACATTTTCATTTAGACACTTTTATCCAAAGCGTTTTTCCTATGCATTTTTCTTCATTTAAATGTAATATATAAATATATCTATATAAAATATTTTAGTTTAGAGTTCTTTATACACAGTTGGCATCATTCAAGAAACTGGATCTGAATATTTTTTTCTGTTTAATAATAATATTAAATATAAATAATAAAGAATTGTTGTTATTATTATATGAAATTTAATAAGATATTTTTTTCTGAATAATAATAATAAAGTTAATGATGATGATTATTATTAACAAATGTTGGAAATGAAAATAGTGAATTTTTAATAGTAAAAATAGTGAAAATAATTGAATCTTTACTGCATTGTAAAATAATATAAATGTGAGTGAAGCTGCTTTTTGTGAATTGATGAATAACGTTATTTCACAAGACATGCACATTGACAAATTATTCTGCAGAGGGGGGGAGGGGGGGTGTAAAGCAAGCATTCCCTGCTGAGATGTTTTTATTCAGTCTGTGTGTTCCTCCTCTGGGGGCCAATTGTGTTTAAACACACGCACACACACACACACACAAATCCAGCAGTATCTATGTATCTGTCTGTGTGACCATAAAGCACACTGAACACAGATGCATATACCGTTTCTCTCTTTGTAATGTGTGATGGTTTGTGTTGTTCCTGTCTGTCTGGTCTTAAAGTTCACAAGCCAGTGACCCCTGGTAAAGCAGGTCGGAGGTGAAAAGCCAATGGCCCTTCTTTTCTATTTGCGCGAAGCTTTAATTTCAGCCTGACCTGACAAGTTCACCTCAAACACGCGATGCAATCACTGGCTCTGTTATGGTGTTCAGCAGAGTTGTTTTAGCCTGTTTGCAGTAATGAAATGTTGTTGTTATAACTCTGCGCAAAAGGATTGTTATTATAGCTGGGGTTTGCTTTTTTCTATGGTCACAGTTCAAAAACCTAAGTCAAACATTTTGTGCATTTTATTTTAGCATCAGTTTAAAGGTGACATATCATGAAAATCTGACTTTTCCAGGTTTTAAGTGCTATAATCAGATCCCCAGTGCATCTACCAACCAAGGAAACGTGAAAAAGATTAACCCAGTAACTTTGTTTTGGTAAGCCTTTTTCTGCAAGCGTCTGAAAAAATGAGCGCGTCTGATTTCGCTCCCTTGGTGATGTGGCAAAGGGATCTCATTATAATATTACCATTCCTTAATCTGTAAGTTTCCACCCATGGCGCCGTCATTTTGATTTTGCACGCGAAAATGGTGTACCAGTTCTAATGTCATGGCGAAAGTTTGAGCAAAACATGCTAACTGTTCTGT